TTCAACTTCTTTTGAAACATGTTCGGTGCTCTCAAGGTTCAAGCACACGTCTCTGGGATTGCGAAAGTGGAAGTTCAAGAACTGTGCACACTCAGAGAATTGGGGCAATCACCTAGAAGAGGATGGCTCACAACGATGAAGCCAGCGTGAGTCACATCGCTTTTGATCTCAGGATCTGCCGTCACTCCTTCCAGAAAATCTTGGGAAGCAGTCATTATTTGAAGAGGTTACCGACTCTTTCTATGCTGGTTTTATTGGAGCAACCCGAATAGATTCAACTGATAAAATGCAAAAAGTTTCTGCACGAGCTCGAGGTGCGCCGCATCTCTCTTACGGATTGGGTTAATGAGAAAATTTTCGAACTAAACTTCTTTGCGACCACCAAAGTCAGAGGCAGTTGTTGCCAAAAAGTGAGAGCAAGTCTCCGAGATAACGTCTAGTTTACAACAGACTTTCTCCCGAAGGTGTGGTAGTTTGTGAGGGGTAACATCCAAAAGTGCAGCTCCATTGGAGTTCATCTTCCACAAATGTTAAAATTAACTCGAAGGTCTTGCAAAAGACTTTATGAGGTACGGTATGTTGTTCTGGATTTACGAGCATTTTGCTCAATGATCGTTTGCTCTTCAATGAAGCTGGGCTCCCTAATACGCGTTCAAATCGACCAAAGCCATCCTGGGCGCTCACTTCCCGGGCCACTGGAGCAAGGAATTGTGACCTTCTTCCTCTCAGGCCCTTAACCCGATGGACTCCTCTATGTGAGGATGTTGTAGAGCAAGACCTCATAAGACTTCTCCAGCTCGGTGGGTGCTCTGAAGTTAGCGCTTCAGAAGAGGTGGGACGACATCGCCGTTGGCTACCTGGCTTCGGCGCACTGCTGATTTTATCGTTGGACGGTCGAGGAAGGTTCCGCATCAAAGCATAGAAGTCGGCTCAATTAGACACATATAGCGCCTTTTTTCTTGCATCCATAACGTGGGATCAAAGAGCTAGCTAGTGCCTATGAACAGTCGGGCTCGTGATAGCCCAGACGGGGCAGCAAAACCGTAATGTTGTAACAGTGACGGGGGAGGGCGTGGGCCTCATGCTCTGTTTTATTGGAGTTTTTGAATAGTGCTCGCTGCCTGGAGGTGGCTATGTGGGTAGCATTCGACATCATTGCAGCAACTATGCTGCAACTGTGGAGAAGGACCCCGTTAAGCCCTCCGAGGCTGTTCGAAGTTCATTCCAGGGCCGGTGTGGGCCCTACGGCGTACTGCTTCGGTTTGTAAAGGCCGATGAGGACTTGCGAATCGCCGATTCGCTATTCGTAGCCGTCGGTTTCAATCCGGTAAGCCTCGTCAATCCAGGACCGCCCACCTCCGGAAGTGGTGCGTGGCTGGCATAACGTGTGAAATCAGCTAGGTTGATTGCCGTATCAACCGATAGAACGACTGACATCTCCAGAAAACTTGTTTGTACGTGCCTCTTTCCCAAGCCAGCCTCCTTCACTGCTAGTGGGGGAAGAGGGTTTTGTTAACGGCCTTGTCGACGGTTTTTCTCAGTTTTTTTTTCACTGCTCGTCCACTTCGTTCTACTTCGCGCCCACTCTCTAAGCTTCAGATTTTCTCACTCGCGCCCAAAGTTTGAACATCAATTGGAGCTCTCCCGCTTAAAATTGAAACGGCTCTCCCCAACTTTGTCGTTCAAAATCTTATCTGGACTGGTAAAGATGCAGTTTCTTTGTGGATCGGTCTCTTTCTTGGCTGGTTTACCACAAAACATGGCGTCCTATTACTTTGCGGCCACCCTGTATCAAAGAAGGGTTTTAGAGGAAAAGATAGAGTGTTCGCTTTCTCGATGGATAAGACGTCAGTTTGCGCTAAAAAGCTCTGATGCCAGAATCGTCAAAAACGCAAAACGGACCACCTTTTTTGCCGGCCTCAGTGATAACTATTCAAAGTGGAAGGGCCCATTCGTTTAAATGAAATTCGATGAACAGGTGACAGCTCAGAAAGCGGGTGCATGAACGAGTTCAGTGCAACGGGTTTGATAACACCATGCCAAATATACTCCAACTGGGGCTGAACTCCTTGATCATTTGAGGTATCAAAACGTTAAGAATAATATGGTTATGCAAATATGAATGCTTTATTTATTATTTAACACAATGAACGTGCAAGCGCACCATTTAGCCAATGTGCACGGAGTGCACGTGAACATCTCCTCCGACTTCGATGGACGACACTGCCCAGCCAGATTGGCGTTCTCGGAACTCATAGAGGTGATGACCATTGACATGCACCTGAATTTCCACATATTACTGACAGTAGTATGCATCGGCGCCAGAAGCATCAGTTGTCCAGAGTGAGCTAATGTTTAGGATTCCTCGATGCGCGAGAAAGGAGGGTTTGTATCTTGCGCTGGAAAGGAAGGATAGGCAGGGTCAACCTTTACGTTCGCACCTTTTCAAAAATTTGCGACCTCTTCTCCCTTTATAAGGGGGTCTTGATGTGACCCCACCCCGAATCACGAATGCGACCCCCTCGCTCTGATAGTGCGAACGGACGGCTGACTCTGGGGAGAGGCCGTCTTCAGTACACTGCGGTGAATTTTGGAGAACAAGGAGGTGGAACTTGGGAGGAACCCGGGGTCGTTCTAGCCAGAAAATTCTAAACGAATCCGGAAAAACTCGTGGAAATTTACACAAATTTCAGGACATTTTAGAACAATTCCTTTTTAACTTTGCCTCTTTGAAGATTTTCTATGCGGAAGCAGGTACTCTTAAGTACGATGGTTGTAGGTGGGATTTGTTACGAAATAGAAACGTGGACGGTCAGAGCTGAGAGAGCAAGGGGGTACCCTTGGCGTACGCTCCAAACGCCTTCATATTTTAGAGTTTCACGGGTATTTCGCTATTCTCATTACATAATTAATCACAGATTATTTTTCAATCCTCAGTGTAATATTTTCTGGAATGAAAAATTCATTCAAAATCGCCAGCAGCCACTTCGATCAGTTCTAGCCATTTCAAAGATGGGTGCTATCGCAATGTACGGAGGCTCTGCGGTGGCAACGCATCAGAACCACGTTAAGCATGCTTTTTTTGTTAGAAATGGGGCTCAGCCTTAGGCAAGGGAGAAGAGACTCCTAAGGTGCGTGAGCATTTTCATTTTTCTTGGAGCTCCTGTCACCTCCTGAGCTCAGTCCTGGAGGATGCCCCTGTATATTGCGATAGCGCCGCAAAGACATTTATCTGATGGAAAGAGGAGTAAAAGTGAGTCTGACAAAAGAGAGTATAAAGTTGATGCATACGTCACTTAATTGTTCCTGCGCACTCTACGGGTGTACAGTGCTCTTCGCTGTCGAAAGAAACACCCACTGAGGCGCGCGTCCTCAGTGGTGTGGCCAGCTGCCGGTGGTAGAGAGTTGAGATACCAAAACTCTTCTCCTGAGTGATATCGATTTTAGGCGAATGCAGCCCTATAGAGCCAGTTTTGTTCAATTGATTACAAATCCAGAATTCACAGGAGTGGCCAAAAAGAGACACTTTGCCCATGGCGCACATCATCAAATTTTTCGTCGCACAGGATGCCGATGTTGATGAATGTTTCACGGCAGAATATTCCTTAGGTGTCCTCCTAAAAGCAGAAGCAGGCCCTCCTTCACTGCCCCCACCGTCTTCAGAATATGACGTCATCTCCTCGCAGCGAAGCGAACGAGGCTTCCTATCGCTCCGCGCTAGAGCTCGACAAGATGCTTCATGATTGCCTCTTGAATAGCTTCCAGAGACATTAGCTGTGACTGTGCAAAACCGCTTTTGACCAGCGTTTCAGGGACGTCGTAATGGTCCTATGGTACCTCGACGACCTCGTTGAGCTCGTACCGTGAACTATGTTTCCGTGGGAAAATCTTCTGATGTCGTCGGTGTAGAAAGACTGTTGTGTATCTTATAGAGAGATTTAGATTCGCTTTAATATGAGTTTTGAACCAGTCGATTTTTATTATAAAAATCGCTGATTAATGCTGCTGAATATCGTAGGTGAAGTGTCTACTTTTGGCCTACCCATTGTAGCACGAGTCGAGGGAAATCGAAGGACAGATCTTAGTCGGGTTTTTAATGCGTGCATTTGGTGCTATCGCCAACTCATCACGTACATACTCGGGACAGCTGTTTTTAACACGGCACTGACGTGTGACGTCGATGCGTGCCTAATTATTCACTGCGGGAAAATGACGTCACACTTCGTTACCAACAGATCTTCACTTGCAGGAGAGGTATGTTGCTTATTGCACATACCAAAAACATGATGTCAGACCACAGCGCCACAGGAGCAGGTCGCTTAAACTGATCAGCGAATATAAAACGTATCCGACGGAAGCGAGTGCGCACCTCGACGACCCAATAGACGTTAATGGTGGATCTGCCCCCACGCGGTAGCCTTTGACATCCACTTACTGAATCTTCACTCAACTCTTCTTTCTAAAATTTTCTCCAATAAATCACATAACTCTACGACAATTCAATGTAAAGTATCGACTTAGCTTCTGCCGATTGATGATTATGTAGCTTTGAAACAAAAAATGCCCTAAATTAAACTACCCTAAAACGTCTCCCCACTGAGCGAAATGTTGCCATCTCAAAGTGTAAAGGATGTCGGTCTGACTGCACCTTGCAACAGATGTTTCACAATCGACGCCCACATGATGACACCCAAAAACGCTCGCCCCTCCAGGCCATCGTGACATCACTATCTTTCAATAACCACACACGCTGGTAAGCGCATCCTTCACCACCTATAATTGGCTATAGGTAACAGACGCCTTCCGAAATTCCAGTAGGTTTTCATTAAAGGTTTGCGTCGCATTCATGTCTGAGCCACCAAGCAAATAAGCAACAACCCTCCCTTTAAAAAACATCGTGCACGCCATAACTGAGAGCCCTCGGCCCCAGCAGCCTTCATTTAGCTTCTTTGCTGCCGTTTCTCAGGCCAGAGATCACTGAGGGCAGTTTAGCGAACACGTTCTACTGATGACTCGATGAGCTTATGCTTAGATGCATCAAGACCGCCGGTTCTGACTACGCTAGCTCCTCATATGTGCGAAGAGATTCCAATCACCATGACATCAATAATACTCTTCAATAACACTCCGCTACACCCTTCCAGCATCTGATGATCAACTCTTTAAGATATTACCACCTACCCTAGAACGCGCCAGAGCCAAATCTACCAAAACTAAGAAAGAAATACCCTTCCATCGAGGGTTAACGCGTGAACAAAAGTCTTGCCCGCTCTAGATTACTGAAATAGTCGGGCTACAGCAAAGTAACTCTTAATAAGCCCATGTCCCTATCGCAGCACGAATACGGCTATCGCCGCCCACCGCAGTCGCGCAAGCGTGCTCACTGACGCTATATAAGCGAACTTGACCGCCGCTTTTTTTACTTGACTACAAAAACTTCTGTTCAACAAAGATTCATCTTGAGTCTGTAAAATTCACTACATGCAGCTTCTTATCCTTTTTATCGATTGGTTGCAGGACCACTCGAAGACGTTGACCGTAAGTGAAGCCTCTCACTGGAACTTCTACGGGGGTACTCTGAAAATGTAGGTTCTCTCTGAAGCTATACGTTTCAAGAAGCCATGTCGCTTCTTAGAAATTATGACCAAAGTACCACCCTGCTCCCACCGCATTAAGATTATAACATTATTGAATCCAAGATTGAAGGGCTAGTTGATGACGCTAGTAATAGCGCACAGTCTCCCACGTGCGCAAATTACGAGCGACATTCAGGCAAAATAGCAGAGCAGTTTGTGGCCAGGGTCCAACGCGTAACGTTGGTGAATTCAAGCATCGCTACGATTCTGCTCTCAGAAGAGTATATGCCCACTGCCTCGCTCCTCAGTGCAGAACTCTCCAGATCGTGCTCTAAATTATAGTCGTTAAACCTTTGGCCCCGGCATACAAGATTCACATCTTTCGCAGGGTAAGGTAGTATAACTGCTAAAAGAGCAAGAATTGCGAATTTATATTATAATTTACCCTTATTTTTCCATCCATACTCGTTGAACCCTTCCTAACCGACCCTGTCCGGCGCTCTCTAGAAAATATGTGGATCTACGCATAGGAGAAAAATTTCCGAACAAATCATCAGGGATCCTTTCTCGGAGTCGTTTAATCTTAGCAAGAGTTACCAGAGCCGAATTGGAATCGAGTAATTTTGAGCCCAAATATAGGGGAATAAGGGTGCCACGCTCAATTGAAAAGAATTTCCTGGAAAATTCAGAAACATCTTGCGGATACCGCAAGCTGCCAACAGTTACATACGTATAGATCTTACCGGGTTGAAGATCTCGGTGGTGAACGGCACGGGAGTCATTCTGAAATATTAGAGTTACAAAAAAGTTATTGAAGGTTATTTATTATACGACTGTCATTGGAGCTTGGATTACTTTTAAGATGTGAAGAATTCGAATCCGTTGAGTGAGAAGAATGCGAATCTACTGTCATTAGAATTGGCATCTTTATCGATTTCTGTAAAAAAAACGATAGTCGGAATGTTCTAAATTCAGCAGGTTCAAGGTGAAATGCTCTACGGGGGGGGGGGCAAAAAAAGACATTTTGCCCATGTCGCACTTCGGCCCTTTTTTCTTCGCAGAGATTGCCGTCGTTGACGGAAGTTCCTCAGCAAAGTATTCCCTAAATGTCCCTCTATAAGTACACGCAGGCCCTCCTTCACTGCCCTCACCGTCTTCAGAATATGACGTCATCTGTCACCGTCGTCGAGCTCAAGGAGGCCTACAGTAACTGCTTCAGCCTGAAGCTCTTACATAATTTCTTGGATCGATTCAACGTGGGATAGTTTCCTAGGGACATTAGCTCTAACTATGCAAACCCCTCGGAACCCGCCCTTCGGAACCCGTCGTAACGGTACACGATCAGTCGAGAACCCCATTGAGCTCGACCAGAGCACCATGTTTCCGGGGCAAATTTTTCTGATGCCGTCCACGTAGGTGGCCACTATGAAGATTTTCTTATAGAATGAAATGCGCTCTTCAATACTAAGTTGGAACCATTCGGTTTGAATTGAGCAGAGTGTGATTAAATCAATGATTTTCGCCAGAGAGGTCAAAATGAAAGAACTGTGAAAGAAGAGAGTGGTTCTTTGTTCGTGGAATGTGGTTCGCCACGATTTTAAGCAAATAATGCTGCCATTATGCCCTTATCAGGTACTGATAAGGCTGGCGGTATTGTGCTCGAAAGGTCTAAGGGCCATTATGCCCGAAAAGTGCTGTACTCGAAACGGCCTATCATGGAAATTGAGATGAGACCAAAGATCTAGCCTAGGTCTAATTTACTATTTGACTTATTCTTGCAACGGCTTATAGCCCGATGCGGAAAACGTTTTCGGATAGCATTGTTTGAGTCAATGACCAGATTAACACAACATTGTGGTTTTTTGTTTGTTTTCTTTTTTTTTGGCGACCTAAAAAGCAGCTCTCAAAAAGCCCTAGCAATTGTGAAACAAGTTTCCTTAAAGGCAAATTTCCGCGGGAATCTAGCTCGACTTTGTGGAGGATACCGCGGCGGGAAATTGCAAGTTTCCTACCTTACTGCCTAGATCACTACCAGCTTTCGCCCGCAAAAATTGCCGGACGGTTAGGGCGTCTCAGATCATTACGGGCTGATATCCATCGACCATCCGTATGCAACGTTCCCACCACGCTCGACATCGCAGTACTTTTCTCGAACGGCGTGACCTCGTATGTATTGTCTTCTTTGATCTCGCCCTGCTCGGCCGATAACTTCGTATATCTGAACTTCGTAGGATTATTAAAGCAACAGTTCAGGGAGGGTCCGAAAATTTCAATGCCACTACTACTGAGGGATACACGAGCCCTAGTGAAGAACATATGCAGTGGAAATAATAAACGAACTTACCTCAGAAACTCAAAAACAGGGTGGAAAGTCCCTCAAACATGGGTGTTCTTGGGGATTTCCCCAATCCCGCCCCCTTGCCGGCCGTCATTGGACGCGTCGGCAATCGTGCTCGTTTTGGGACCACAGGGAAAATTGATTGAAAAATGGAGCGCGTTTACAGCGGGCACGTTCAGACAACTCGTCCAACGTGCGTCTTTATCCATTGCTGAGCGGCAGAGGGAGAGTACCTGTCTAAGACCCTCCCCGACGTTTTTTTCCAGTTTTTCATACATTAATCGTCTGGTTTTCATCTACAACTTCATTATTGGTGGTTTTTTCCCGCGAAACCGTTCCTGAACTGTTGCTTTAAGGCTTATATTTCACGTCACCCCACCAACAGATCATCTCCAGGATTTCGCTTTGCCATTTTTAAGGCCGTCTCCGACAGCTCAGCCTCATACGAAGCACTCTTATCACCAGTGTTATTCCGGGGCTTGCCTTTAACACATTACACGACGACGCGCGTCTTTTCGGTCGATTTTACGAGCTCCACCGCCCGCTTTAAATCTGTGAACTTCAAGTGGTGAAAATACAAAAAAGAAGCCACAGAATAATTAATACAGTTAGCGCCTCCATAAAAAATGCCTGAGAAGGTCAGGTTTGGAAAATACAGTTGCCATTGTGAACATTCCACCCCATAACTTGAAGCACCGCCTCGTACGCAATCGACTTTACGACCGTCTATGTACCACACCCAATTGTGTGGTCTGTCCAACCGGCAGGGAAGGGGACTGCAACATTTCAGGGGTGGTTTACAAAATCACTTGTTCCACTTGTGGGGACGAGTATATCGGCGAGACGGCAAGACCGCTTTGTGTACGTGTAAAGGAGCACATACAGGGCTCATCAACTGCTTCAAAGGCAAACCCCGGGATTAGCCCGACTAGTGGGAGGGATACCACTAGGGAAATTGCAAGGTCTGTAACTACCTAGATCACTCCAGATTCGTTGCAAAACCACATTCGACCCTGTTGAAGGGTAAGACCTTAGTTTCAGCGTTCGCAAAGATTCTCTTGCTTTCCTTCCCACTTTCAGGTCGTTCCGCAGCTAAGGTATCACACTACAGAGCGCTGATAGCACTAGTTCAATCCCGGAGTTTGCCTTTAAGAGCCTACAGGGTTCATATCCATAATGGAGACGATTTTGAGGTCACAGCCAAGGTCTTAGCCAAGAATCAGAAACATCTGCACGAAAACCCTCGAGGCATTTTGGATTCAAGTCAGCAGCCCTAAAATGAATCAGAGGGAAGAAGGCCTCATGATAACGAGGGAGTTAAGACCTTATATAAGATTAGCCTTCCAGTAGTGACTCTCATTTGGAAAGAGTCCGCATTGAAGCCGGTGCCGCTTGGCTCGTGGCTGATTCAAAAAACCGGAATAGATTACGGTGAGTTGTCTGCCTCGTGGCTGTCTGATGTTTTGTTAGATCTAGAACTTCTGTAGGGCAGCGGCGACGTTTGATCGGGTTCTCATAAATTGGCTAGACTTTTGCAGGCTCTGACGAAGGCGAACCCGCCGAAACGTTAGCCGATAAAGCATCTTCAAAAACCTCGTGTACAGGGGTTGCCAAAAAAGACACTTCCCTTTCCATTTCAGACAGCATTAATCACACTTTGCTGAACTCAAACCGACTGCTCCAACTTAGTATTAAAGAGCACATCCCAATCTATCAATAAACGTTATAATAGCTTTCTGCACCAAGGACATCACAAGAATTTGCCATGGGAACCTTGTGCACGGTTCGAGCTCAACTGGTCCTCGATGATCATGGACCACCACGACATTATCTGGAAAGCTGGTTGAAGAGGGCATGCTTTTACTCATTATAGGACATCTGAAGGACATTTTGCCGTGAAACTCAACAGCGGCATCCTGTGCGATGAAAACTTGATGATGTGCGCCATGAGGAAAGTGCCTCTTTTTTTGACCACCCCTGCAGAGTTTAATGGAAGAAAGCTGAAGCAATTGAAAAAGTTGTTCATTCGATGTTATGAATATTGTCACAATTTGGTGATTGCTAATGTGAACTCATAGAAGCAAAAGGAAAT